TGCAAACCACGGAGAAAGGCCTCAGAAGAAACCAACCCTACCAACACCTTGATCTCAGACTTCTAGCCTCCAGAACTATGAGAAAATAACATTCCTGTTGCTTAAGCCACCCAGTCTGTGGTATTTTATTATATCCCTGGCAAAATAATACAACTCTAAAGGTGGCTCAGGGGTGGGTGGCACCTCCACAGGCCTAAAGGGTAGAGCCCCATGGACCAGAAGGAAGAGGTTTGAGCCACAATGGATTATTCTCCAGGCTTGAAATTTAATACAATTTGCCCTGCTGAGTTTTGAATATGCTTAAAACAAGTGATACCTCTGTTCCTTCCATTTTATCCCTTTCAGAATGGAAATGTCTATCCTGCAGGAAATGTCAAACCCTGGTACCTGCGAATGTGCCTTATTTGAAAAGGGAGTCTTTGCAGATGTAACCAAGTTAAGATGAGGTCATACTGGATTAGGCCAGACCCTAAATCCAATGCCTCATGTCCTTACAAGAAGAGGAAAGTTCCTACAAAGGTTCAGAGGAGACATGCCGGGGAGACAGTCACATGGAGATGGACTCAGAGGCTGATGCTGATGCTCACCAAGCAAAGCCACGATTTCTGGGAGCCATCAGAAGCAAGAAAGAGGCAAAAAGTATTCTTCCCTAAAGCCTTCCTAAGGGTATGTGCCTGCTGATACCTTGATTTCAGACTTCTAGCCCCTAAAACGTCAAGAAAATAAATTTCTGTTGTTTAAAGCCACCCAGTTGGTGCTAATTTGTTATGACAGCCCAAGCAACTAGTACATGACTCTTAAAACTGTATAAACCATTTGATTGGTATTCCTCTAACCTAACCTAACCCCTTCTAGTCCTGCTGTTGTCCCAGTTTTCTCAGTTATTTTTTTGTATCTCCTATTATAGAGCTACCTGGTATGTTTACATATTTCCTCTCTCTTCTACCCCCATATATTTTTCTAAAAACTTTGCTTTTGCCCTTGATATTCTTATCTTCATTTTTCCTAATACCTTTTTCAATAGGCTGTCCTGTCCTTCCATTATGATTGAATCTATTTTCTGATTCTCTTGCCTGTTGTTCCTCTTCTCTGTAGGAGGAATGTACCTGCCTACACTGTTGAACCCAAAAGTGGCCATATGACCTTTGGTCAGTGGAGGGTGGGCAGGAGTGATGTATCACACCCAAGAAGTTTTAAGAACTAAGCATAGTTTGCTATATTTCCTTTCTTCTGCCCAAGGGAACTGGTTGGTCAGCCTAGATTCCAGAGTGAAGTAATGTATAGCAGAATGGCAGTAGACCTACAATAAACATGAAATATAAATGAAAAATAAATCTTGGTTGCAAGCCCCAAGGTTTGGGGATCGTTTGTTATTGCAGTGTAACCTATCCTGATAGATACAGAATTTTGTGTTCTTTCATTCCTATTCTTCCTAACCTTCAATGGGAAAACCTTGAAGAAGCCATCTTCCACCTAATGAATTAAGGCCAAACTGTTCAATATATATATTATCCATATTTGTACATAAGAACATAAAACATTATGCATATTTTGCTACTCCTATTAATGGATTCTGTGAGTCAAGCCTCTGCTTAAGACCACAGTGTATGACTAAACCCATGGAAGAGCTGGGCTGGGAAAGGATGGGTAGTGTAAACTGCAAGGACTCAAATCAGAAATTGATCCAGTAGGTTGATGACCAGGGCAGAGATCTGAAGTGGTTCAGTGCCAGGACATGATGGTGGTGCTGGGGGAAGGGGAGATTGCAAAGGTAGAGGTCATTAACTAAGCTAGAATTGAAAAATGAGTGTGGACCCCAGAAGTAAGACTTACAGAGAATGAAATGTTAAGTCCTGAAAGATATATGAGGTGCTAGGGACTGAACTATCTCACCCCACAAATTCATATATCAAAGCCCTAAACCCTTGTAAGAAGAGGAAGAAACACTAGGGTAGTGTAAGCACAGAGGAAAGGCCATGTAAGCACACAGTGAGAAGACAGCCTTCTGCAAGTCAAAGAGAGAGGCCTCAGGGGAAACCAACCCAGCTGGAACCTTGATCTTGAACTTCCAGCCTCTAGAAATGTGAGGAAATTAACTTCTGTTATATAAGCCACCAGTCCATGGTATTTTGTTATGGCAGCCCTAGCAAACTAATACATGGTGTAAGCAAGGGGGAGGGTCCTACAGGCCATCCTGAACAAAATAGTGATTTTCACTGCAACTTTCCTTCATCCATACTCACTGCCTACCTGGAGTTCTCCACACCTCTGTGGGACTCACACCCCTTTCTGGCAACAAGCGTATGTCCTGTCTCTTAGACTTGTAACAGGCAAGAACTACGATGTTTCTCTCACATCACTGGGACACTTGTGCTATGTATACCACACAGGCTCATTTGATGCCTGAGGTTTGATTAATGTTTTCTGTAGGCCTTCACCTAAATCAGTGATTCTTAACTTCATGGAACTCCTGAGGGGTGGAGGGTGTTGAGAGATGGACTTTAGGAGCTTGGCCACAGCTTTCATCAGATTCTCAAAGGGAATCCTAACACTAAAAGGTTTACAAAAATACTTCAAGTTGATACTGGCTTTTGTTAGACCCTTCTGACCAATGCTGATGTTACGTGGGGCAGTTCATATGCAGTAATGTAATAAGCTCTTTATTTACCAAAGTTCTCCTATCACATTTAGACACTGGGTAAGTTTCTGAATCTGATCTATAGCCCCATCTGTTAGGTGGGTATTATAGGTTTATTATCCTCAGCTTCATGAGCTGTAAATTATTTTAGAAATGACAGCTTCAGAAACAATAAAAGTTTTGGTGTCTGCCCATAAACCTTCCAAAAATAAAGCCATACTTAAAAGACATTGTGTATTCAAGGCACTTCTATTTAAAGCAATTTTTTCCTCTGTTATCTAAGAAATACAGTGGATTTTTTAACCTTGTTATAGATTAATAAGACCTCGAGAAAATATCTTGTATAACTGAGAGTCAGTTCTCAAGCTTTGCCAATGACAAATGAACTCTCTAGGTACATATTGCTTAGAAGTATATTTACATCTAAGCAAAAAATCCAGTTTGCTGTAAGCAAATTATCTTTATGTTAACATAGGTTTCTGTAAGAAATTTTATTTTGAACATGTCACAGAAACATTAAATACCAATTTTAGTATTAGAAAAAATATTTTATGTTGGTCAAATCTTTTTTCCATAGACTTCTAGTCAAAGCTTAGTGTACATTCTCATTGAATTGGTGTAAGTACCTGAAATCAGTCTCATACAGCTGTCTCAGATAAAAGGGGAATGTGGTTAAAGAATAAAAAGTCCATTTGGGGTGCCAGAGAAAATTTCTTATAGCCAAACCAGGCAAAATCATCAGAAATGTTTGTCCTACATACCCTGCAATAGTCCCATCATGCCCGTGGCCCTCAACAGCTGTTGCAGAAAGGGTGCCTGTATCTCCCATACTCTCAGATGCAGATGTGCACAGAGGCAGAGACCAAGCGAAGTTGAACACAGTCCACCCCTTTGATCCTTCCTCCAAGGAGCTGGCTCACACCCTAGACCTGGCTAAGGAAATACATCCCATTGTCTGCTGCAAAGGATGTCACGTCATTTCGTTCTGTGCCTGGAAAGGCAGTTGGGAACAAGTAACCCTGCTTCTAGAGACATGAGCTGGTTCCCAGCTGCACTGTGACTTGTTTTTGGCTCCTAGGCAAATTGCCCAGTTTCCTCTGCTCCTGAATTTCCCCAGCTGCAAAGTCAAGATAATTCTTGTTACCTTTCTCTTGTGGTGTTCTGAAAAATAAACAGGACAGATGTTTCTAAAGCGCTTGGAGACAATTGTCTAGGGCATATTTGCCTAGAACCAGAGGTAAGGTTTTATTTTTATGTTTTGCTTTTGGCCTGACTTTGGCATAAAGGTAGAAAATCCAAATTAAATAAAATTATAACCATTCATCTAATGTTAATGGAGCATTTCCAGTGTGCTAGGTACATGGAGAACACAGAGAAGGCACATTCCTCCCATCAAGGAGTTCACAGCTCCCTCAGGAGGAGGTATGATAGCCTAGAGGTTAAGCAACGCCAGCGTAGCAGTCAGCCAAGGTAGCTGGGTTGGAATCCTACTCTACAGCTTCCCAGCTGGAGACCCTGGAAAGATCACCCAGTTTTACCAAGCTTCAGTGTCCTCATGCAAACCACAATAGCTGGAGGTGGCAGAAGGTGTTCTTGTATTTATTTACCTGCTTAAAACTCAGAGCAGCTCCCTGAGATAGATAGGATTATCATCCCCATATTTGTATCTTTATCTTTTAGATAAGAATACTGAAGCTTAGAGAGGTTACATAATTTATCCAGGTCATACAGTTAGGAAGTGGTAAAGCCAGGATGCACACCCTTGCTGCATGGCCTCAAAGCATGCAGACTTCACCACTACACTGCCCTCAAACAGGAAGACAGAACTCACCTCTGACAGACTTGTGAGGAGCAACTGCAACTGGGCATAAAAGCTGTTAGCACAGTACCTGACATATAATAAATGTGCAATACATGTGTAGAAGTAGTAATAGAAGAGATTAGATGCATATATAAATAACCAGAATGCCAAATCGAAAATAAATGCATACCTCCAGAATATTTTATGGGAAAACTCCTTATTTTAGACCGATAGTTATACAGGGGTTATAGTAAGGAGTTGCGTTGGGGGAAAATAGTCTATGAACTGCAGCATTTCCAAATCGGTATATAAGTGATCTATAACATGAATGAGCCATGCTTCGTATACATAAATTTCTGAAGGTCATTTAAAGAAATGTTGAAGTATCTGAAGCACCGCGCTATTGCTAAAATGCAGACTGTTGGTGAGAAAAATTCCCAATTAGGCAATGTAAAAATGCATGTGCTACAATTCTCTTTCCTTCCCCGCCCCCGCCCCCACCCCCCTCCCGCATTTCCTTTAGGAAGAAACAACAGCATGGAATTTCTTTTCAGTCTTAAAATAAAAATCCCCCCAAAAGGGATCCCGCTTTTAGAGTTGTTTGAAAAAAAGATGCATGAAGAGCCAAGTGCTGATATTCTGGCCAAGTTACGAGCTTCTGAGAGCAAGAGCCTGAAAGGACGACTGTTAACCCCCTCCTCTCGGGAGCAGTGAGCTGGGTCGCTGCTGGCTGGCGCTGCCTGCAAAGCTCATCGCCCCTCGGAGTGAGCGGCCAGCCTGAGGGGACTGCAGACATCTGCAGCAAAAACGATGACGGTCTGAAACAGGCGCCAGCGCCAGCCTCCAGCTTCGGCTGTCACCTCAGACCTGACTACTTGATAGAGCTGCAGTATTTCAGCTCCGACAGATTTGAATGTGTTTCTGGGCAGAGAAGCAAAGCTAACGAGGGAAGAGATCCAAAGACATTGGGTATTTATCAAACTTCTATTTCCTGACTGTGTGCAAAGAGGAAACTCAACTTCAATTTTCTGTCAAGGCACCGGGTCCAGCCACCTACCTGAAGGTGAATTTTAATAATTTTACTGTATTATCTAATGGTATTTGTTAAAGTGATTTGCATGTGTTTAATATTTTTGAGTAATACAAAGCCATTTATTCACAAAAAACTTTTGCATGATTTACAGGAAAGCTACTTCATAGGAAATTTTAACACTTGTATTCATGTTTCCTTTTCTTCTCCAAGATTAAATAGTAAGTACTGATAAATGATAGCTTCAGTATAGTCCAAGAACCCAAATGTAGAACTGTTAGATTGGCATCAGATCTTGGTGTAGTCTGATTACTGAAATGTGTTATAGAAATAATTTACTAAATATATTAAATCATAAGACAAGTAGTTTATAAAAAACTTTCAGATCAAAGTAATCTGTGTTTTCCATGTTTAAATTACCTGAAGTTATTCAGTCACCATCATTGTCCCAGTCTGTATGTAACAACAGTATAGAATTGGAACATTTTGATATTCCAAAACTTAAGAAAAATCCCTTTAATACTATATTCTTCTTTATTTTCAGTTACTGTGACAATTATTCCTTTCTTGATTCCCTTTCATGGTTTTGTGACCAACTGTCTCTTATCTGCTATAATTTTTCAAGATGCGCAAAAAACACATAAAATTTCTCTAATTCCTAATGATGTCTTATTTAGAAAGGGAAAAAGGAGAGGGAGAATCAAATAACTTAAGAGATTATGATAACGCCTATATTGTAAGGTACTTTCCTTTCTGTCTTTATCTTCTAAAACAAGACAATAATGCAGGTCATGCTCACTCATTCCTCCTAGAAATTGGAGGTCACCCTGCAAGAGAAAACCTTGCTTTCAACTACAGATCGATACTGTTGATATGATAACCAAGAGGTGCTGCAGAAAGGGGATCTCACTTGCACTGCCTTTGATCTGCAAAGAGGTTAAATAAGTCACCTTGGCTCTGTATCTGAGCTCTCCTCTGGTCCAGGGCCTACGTACACTGAGTTGAAATGTTCACTCAATCCAACTCAGTAGATATCTTTTTTTAAATTCTCCCCTTTCACATGGATTCCAGCTTTTTTCAGTACACAGCTTATTCAGCTGAACTTTGCTGGTTATGACTATTGTTAACTCTGACGATTTTTTAAAAAAGGACACCCCTCTTAGGAAAGCTTTAAATTTATATTTCTGTTCATTCAACAAGTTCCATCAAAGGAGAGCAATCTATTTCATCTGCTCATCATCCAGTCAACTAATGCTGCTTCCCACATTTTGGAGAAGAATACTGTATATTTTATTAATGAATTCTGCCTTTTTTTCCTTGAGAGCATTTTTATACAGCCATTTAGCAGTTAGAGTACTGGGGTTTCCTTTTCAAGTGCTTTGGGATTTAATCGCCAGTGATCCCTCATGAGCAGTTTGACTTACCAACTAAGTAAAAATAATAGTGTTGACAGAAATGAATCATGATGTATCTGGACATCTCCAAAATGTCACTCATTCAGTTTCCTCTTGACTGCATGTTATTTTTATTCCATTGATTTGTTAAAGTACACGAACATTGCTATTTTACTTAAGTTTAACACAAGGTCCAGAACATGTTGGAAATATTTTTCCAAGAAGAATGTATACAACTGTTGTTAAAACGCTTTGGGTGCCATTTTCCCTCATACATCATGCTAGAACAACCTTCAGTGAAGGAGAAAGGGACCCATAAATCCAAGATAATTTCCCCAGTAGGCTGTCTGTCTAAGAAGTGCCCAAACTCCACCAGGGTCTAGTTCATGCAGGGTCCAAGGGCGTCTTCTGCCAAAGGCTGAACCTGTGCTGGAGCTAGCATGGTTTTGTCATGGACAAAGACAGACTGAACTCTGAGGAATAGAGTGTGTGGTCTTGAATTATTGTAGGGAAACAGTGTCATATAATGAATGAGATCGTGGGCTCTGGAAACATATAGACCTAGTTTACTTATGGGTTTTACCAGACTCTGACTATGGGCAAATGACTCTTTGAGCTTCAGTCCCCTCATTTGGGAAAATGGGGGTCATAAAACTAGCTGCTACCTCAGAGATTTGTTGTGATAACTAAGTGAAGAAAACTGCTACACTGGCTGCATACAAACCAATTACTTGTTCATAGCTAATATTAAAGCAGTTGCCTACCTGTATGTCACAACTGGAAGAGTGTAGAAAGGGAATTTATACTCTACCTTTTCCCTCAGGCTTTCTTCCCATTAAGAAGCAATTAATTAATGAGCAGTAAAGACTCAAAGTAAATATTCATGTTGAGGCACCAGAGGAATATAGTACTGTCAGATTTATTTTTCCACTTCTTTGGTAAGAAGAGACTATTCAATGAATATGTCCTTTTTGATTTCCAATTTTACTACCAGAAAAATTATTCTATGTATAAAACTGAACACTTTCTCATTGTGTGTCTAGTACACTGCTGGGTGCAATGGGTACTCACACACTTTGCTGTATCATAAAATGTCAATGCCAGGTCTATGTCTCAGAGTCAGCATGACAGAATGGATAGAGCGTATGTTTCAGTCTAACACACCTGGGTTTGAATCCTTACTTTTCTTCTTAAAGGCTGTGTGCATTTGAGAAGTCATTTCACACTCCAGGACTCAGTTTACCCATCTATTAAATAAATAGTGATAATAATGCCCACAAATGGTGGTGTTGTAGAAATTAAGTGAAATGTGTTTTAAGTGCCAACCATTGCAACCAGCAGAGTACTAGACACACAATGAGAAAGTGTTCCATTTTATACATGGAAGAATTTTTCTGGTAGTAAAATTGGAAATAAAAAAGGACATGTTCTTTGAATAGTCTCTTCTTACCAAAGAAGTGGAAAAATAAATCTGACAGTACTATATTCCTCTGGTGGGCCTCAACATGAAGTATTTATTACTTTGAGTCTTTACTGCTCATTAATTAATTGCTTCTTAATAGCCAAGGCAGATAAAAACAAAGCAAGTTTTCTGTTTCAGACTGCCATTAAGAAAAGTGAGACAAAGCACTGCTCTGCAGTCCATTATTTCACTGGCCTGCTTGGACAGAGAAGGCCCCCAAGGTTTCTCCTTTCTTATGTTTTCTAAAGGCCAGAATGGGGGTTTTGACTTGCTATAGGGTGTATTTTTTCCTCACTAACTGAAATTGAAACAAAGGATTTGATTTTGAACTTTGGTTTTTGTAAACCTCTCCACTATGCTCCTACCACTGAAATGCCAGCGGCTTTTCTGGCCACAAGTAGCAGGAGCAGCCTGTCGTCATAGCAATGAAAGGGTATAGGGAGACTCGAGTTTCATGGCCCACTCTGTGAAATAACTCTTAGTCTTAAAATCCTTCTTTGGAAATGAAGTATCCAGTCCTGGCATGTTTCCTTCCTATTATGCAACCAACTTAAGTACATCAATTGCAATAGCTAAATGTTTCCTTCAAAGATTCAATTAATAGGGATTAACAAAATTAACAAGAAAGCTACTAAAACAGTGACCTGTGGAGTGCAGAGGAAAAACTGGGAAGGCAGAAGAAGAGAAACAGAAATGATCTCACTTCATAAGCACATATGTGCACCCTGCAGTAAATCCATTTTCCAAGTTCCCACTACCTCCTCCCACATTCACAGTGTGCTGTACTGTAGTGGTTACACAGGGGGATTCTGGGGCAGGCTGCCAGGACCCAAATCCTGGCCCTCTCTAGTTTATCTTATACTCTCTTTGCCTCCATCTTCTCATCTGTAAAATAGAGATAATAATGGTCATAACATGCTGTGGGAATTGAATGAGATAATGTACATAAGGATTTTATAATAGTATCTGACCAATGTTAAAAGTTTGCTGCTAAGTTCACCCAGCCTCAGCTTCTCCTACTTGTCAAATGCAGATATAACAACTAATTCATAAGATTCTTGTAGGATTGAAATAACGGATATAAATTCTCAATAAAAAATAGTTCCTTTGTTGGTGAGTTGCCGCTGGGGAGGCCTCTCCCTGCGTACTAGGTGACACCTCAACCTAGACGGGGGAGGGTTCTTGACTCTGAATGAGAAAGAATTCCCGAACAGGTTGGTGAGTATAGGTAAGGAAGGAAGGAATTCATTAAAGTTAGAGTAGTAGCAAATGGCAGCAGCCAAGCAGGCTGTAGAAAGCAAGGAGGAGCCTAGGGAGCAAACGGAAGTTAATTGAACTCATACTCAGCATTGGGCAGATCCCTTGCCAACTCCTGAAGCCAGGGTCACCTGGTGTCCAGTGTTCATTTGAATCTGCACAGCGTGGGAATGAAGCCCCTGCCACTCCAGGATTTAGGGGAGTTGCAGAGCATTGGATGGAGTGAGATTATGCTCTGACAACTTCCCAAAGCAAAGAAAGATTTTGGGCAGGCTACTAAAGAGCATGATTGTACAGCTGCAGTCCTGTCCAGATCACCCAGGTGACAGGAACTTGCAAGCCCAAATCAGGGATCTTAGTAGCCCTTCCCTGTTTGTCTTAAGTAGGACAGAGTGAGTGAGGACTTGTGCTTAAGTCTAGAAAATTGAATGAAATAGTGAAGTAACAAAGATGCTTACCACTTTGAAAAGCACAGAGACAAAATGCAGTAAGTTGAGCAGTGAGAAGTCTTTATTTAAGGCAAAGTACACACTCAAAGAAAGGGAAGTGTCGCAACTTCAGAGAGGAGGTGTGTTTAAAGGCTTAGGATTCTCTCTTTTAAGTCTTTCAGAAATGGGACAGAGGGTGTGGGGGGTGCGTGGGTTTGGTATGTGGTCTCATGATGTGTATCTCTGGTGAGAGACATTATGTCACCATCCATAGTCTGTCCTCTAGATATTTGGCAAGATAAACTTAACACAAGGAATTTCTTGATCCTGTTCTTCTCCAAGATAGTGATTACTCCAAGATAGTGATGCTCCAAGCAGTGTGAGCATACAATTTAGGACTGCTTGTCCGGCCTTAAGATAGAGTCAGTTATTGGCTAATCACCATAAAATATGTTAGGAATCTTACTTCCTAACACCTGGTTTTTAAAATGG